ACAATAGCTTCTTTTTTTGACTTGAACCAACTCTGTACTGTGATTGTGTTCTCCAAAGCTTATGTGTTACAAACTTCTCAAATTGATTTCTGGATGATGTTGTGAAGGGAGGTTCTTTGGGAAGAGATCGGATGAATTACTGAGAGTCTCCCACTCCCATCCCAGAATGACTGGTCTGCATGGCAATGCAAGGACTGTGATGAACCTAGACCATCTTTCTACAGCAGTCATCCAAAAAGAACATTATTTTCTTATTTACTCTTGTTAGACTGGTAACCCTGATTACACAGTGACTTTCTGAGAAAGACCCGAAGTCCTCCATTTCCCTAGTTCTTGTCATGTGATGGCCTCAGATAAAAAGTGAGAAATAAATTTCTTTTCTTATTCATCAAGTAGGAGTAGGGATGGGAATAGGAGGGATCAGGTTGGAGGGAGGATGGAGGGAAAGAGTACTGAGAGAGACAACTGGAATCTGGGGTATCTCTGGGATGAGCTAGAAATCTAGAGCAATGGAAAGTTCCAGAAATCTGAGGGTGACACTAGTTAAGACTCCTAGCAACAGGGGAATGGGAACCTGAATTGACATCTCTTGTAACCAGGCAAGACTTCTAGTGGAGGACTTGGGGCATCAACCCAGCCATAAACCATTCGACCTACAATTTGTCCTGCCTACAAGATGTGTCACTTTGATTTGCATTTTTCTGATGACTGAGGATGTTGAACATTTCCTTAAGTGATTCTCAGCCATTTGTAATTCTTCTGTTGAGAAGTCTCTTTTTAGATCTGTACCTCAATTTTTAACTGAATTATTTGGTTTGTTGATATCTAGTTTCTTGAGTTCTATATATATTTTGATAGCAGCCCTCTAACAGATGTGGAGCTTGTGAAAATCTTTTCTCATTCAGTGGTCTACTGTTTTGTCCTTTTGACAGTGTCCTTTGCCTTACAGAGGGGTAACATGAGGGCCTACTTGTTGGGGTTTTGTCTGCCTGGTTCCCCAGCCATTTAGTCCCAGAGAAAATCACACAGAGAGTCTATATTAGATATAAACTGATTGGCCCATTAGCTCAGGCTTCGTATTAGCTCTTATAACTTATATTAACCCATTATTATAGTATATGTTAGCCACAAGGCTCAGCGGGGCAGGTCACATCTTACTTCTTCCATGATCTGGGCAGGACTGCTGGGAGAGCTTCCATCTTCCCAGAATACTCCTGTTCTCATTGACCCACCTCTACTTCCTGTCTGGTTGTCCCGCCTATACTTCCTGCCTGGCTACTGGCCCATCAGCACTTATTTAAAACATAATTGAAAGGATATAGACAATTGTCCTGCACCACAAAAGCTTTTCAGTTTCTTGAGGTTCCATATGTTGTCAGTCTTAGTGTCTACACTACTGGTGTTCTGTTCAGAAAGTGCCAAAGCCTGTGTCAAAGCATTCAAAGCTATTTCCAACTTTCTCTTCTACCAAGTTCAGTGTGTCTGGTTTAATGTTGAGATCTTTAATGCAGTTGGACTTGAGTTTTGTGTAGGGTGATAGATATAGATCTATTTGCAGTCTTCTACATGCTGACATTCAGTTAGATCAGCACCATTTATTGAAGATGCTTTCTTTTATTCTATAATTTTCACTTCTTTGTAAAAAAAATAAAGTGTCCATACGTGGGTGAATTTACATCTGGGTCTTCAATTCCATTGGTCCACCTGTCTGTTTTTATTTCAATATCATGTGGATCTTATTACTATTGCTCTATAGTACAGCTTGAAATCAGGGATGGTGATACTTCCAGAAGTTCTTTTATTCTACATGATGGTTTAATTATCAAGGATTTTTTTGTTTGTTTTTCCATATGAAGTTGAGCATTATTCTTTCAAGGTCTGTAAAGAATTGTGATGGAATTTAATGGAGATTGCATTGAATCTGTAGACTGCTTTCGGTAAGTTGGAAATTTTTACTATGATAATTCTACCTATCCAAGACCACAGAAGATCTCTCTGTCTTCTGATATCTTCTTCAGTTTTTTTTTTCAAACACTAAAATTATGTCGTACTGGTCTTGCATTTGCTTGGTTAGAGTTACACCGGGATATCTTATATTATTTGTGGCTATTGTGAAAGATGTTGTTTCCCTGATTTCTTTCTCAACCCATTCATCATTTGTATATAGGAGGGTTTCCAATTTTTTTAGTTAATTTTGTATCCAGCCACTTCTCTAAAGGTGTTTATCAGCTGTAGAAGCTCTCTGGTAAAATTTTTGCGGTTGCTTATGTATACTATCATTTCATCTGTAAATAGCAATACTTTGATTTCTTCCTTTCTAATTTCTTCTTTGATATCCTTAAGTTGCCTTATTGCTCTAACTAAAACTTTAAGTGCTAGAGAGTGGTGTAGTAGGAACCCACTTGTTTGTTCTCAGCTGCCCAGATTTCCAAAATAACCACACAAAAATTCTATTAATTAAATCACTGCTTGGCTCATTAGCTCTAGCTTGTTATTGGCTAACTCTTACATTTTAATTTAACCCATTTCTATTAATTTGTGTATCACCACGTGGCTGTGGCTTACCAGCAAGGTTTGACTCATATGTTCATGGTAATGGATACATGGTGTCTCTTGACTCCACCTTCTTTCTCTCACCATTCAGTTTAGTTTTCCCTGCCTACCTCTATTCTGCTGTGCACAGGCCCAAGACAATTTCTTTATTAACCAATGGTATTTACAGCATACAGAGGGGAATCCCACATCACCTCCCCTTTCTGTTTAAAAAAAAGGAAGGTTTTAACTTTAACATAGCAAGATTACATACAACAAAACATGTATCAAGCAAGAATTACAGCTACAATATTTATATCTACTTTATCTTTTATCATAACTAAGGAAAACTATAATTGTAGGTACCTATTCTTCAACTCAATCAAAGATCTCAGAAGGATATAATGTTACCTAAGTTAACAGAAAGTGCATTGTAAGCAACTTTCAGAACTCTAGAATTGACAGAGACATTTCACTGCCTGGACAGAGTAGACAGCCTTGTTTTGTCTCTGATTTTAGTGGATTGCTTTAAGTTCCTCACCATTTAATTTGATGTTGGCTATCAGCTTGATATAGACTGCCTTTATTATGTTTAGGTATGTCCCTTGTATCCATAATCTTTCTAAGACTTTTATCATGAAAGGATGCTGGATTTTGTCAAAGGCTTTTTCAGCATCTAATGAAATGATCATGGTTTTTTTTTCTTTCAATTTGTTTATATGGTGGATTACATTGACAGATTTTCATATGTTCAGTCATCCCTGCATTTCTGGGATGAAGCACACTTGATCATGAGATTGTATTTTTATCTCACTTTAGTCTGTCTCTATCTCTCTATGTCTCTATCTCTGTCTATCTCTCTTTCTCTGTGTGTCTCTCTATGTCTCTGTGTCTCTTTCTTTCTCTAGACATATATCCATCTCACTTCTAGTCATACAAATTATATTGAAACAAGAACTTTGCTTTGAGTGGTACTCTGTTTTTGTTATGGGTCTGTAATCATCCACCAATTCACCAGTGTGACTCAGGTTTTAATTTTTGTAAAAATAGAAGGTGTTTATTTTAAAAATTGGCCAGGACCAGACCAGAGAGCACTCTGGGTGAGGCCTCAGCTACTGTTAGTCCAAGTTTTCTAAAGGCAAAATCTACAACATTATAATTTTGGAGAGCCGAGTTAACATATATCCTGTTGAAGGGCAGACCATGCTTGATTTTGTAACAGATGTTCAGCAGATACATCCAGTCATCCAAGTAAGAAGAGAATGTTTTATACAAAAGCTGAACTTAGCAGTTAACCTATTGACATTGTAACCCATTATCTCTTAAGAATATCTGAGGCAGTGAAATATTTACAATAATCAACAGTTTTTAAGAATAGCCCAACTGTACTGAGAAGTCCTCCATGTTGGGCAAGTTAGCTGCCAGGATACATTCAAGATAAGAGTGATCTCCTCGTGGCTTACAAGTAAAAACAATTTTGTTTTGACAAGTCTTTTCAACACAGTAGATTATCATAATGTTCACATCACACTTCAGCATTTCCCACACTGACACACCCAAAAAATGTTGAATGATTCCATTGGTGTGGGCATCTTAAGAAGCGTAGCCTAAAGCCAAATTTCCTCAGCCAGTGTTTTAGAATTTAAAATAATCAATATTTGTGCTGTAAAGTACTTGGCATTATTTCAGAAAACTTATTACAATGCAGTTTTTTAATAAAGCAAAATTGCCATTCATAAAAGAATTCTGCTGATCAAAGGCTCCCCTTCACAGTCTTCCTCCTCTAAGGAACTTCAACAGTCAACAGGTCCGACTCATCTGATGAACATGGCAGCTGTATTTCTCAGAGGATTGCCTTCTACAACACTAGACACATAGACAGGTCTGCTCTTTCATGAGGACTACAGAGTATTTGCACAGAACAATTTTCAAATATATTCTAAATCTGATTTATGCTACTTATTCCCACATGTTTGCCTAGGACTAGACATAGAATTCTGGCTTCTAGTTACTGTAGATGACAGCTTACTAATAACATTGCAACTTAAAAGTGCAAAGTCATAGAATCTTGTGCAGAGAGTCTGGTATTACAAGATAGGTTTTTCATATGTTAATCCTTTACCTGCTTTAACAGGGTGACTTTGGTGCTTTCAATGCAGTGTTAAGTTTCTCTTCTCATAGATACTACCACAATTCTCCCTTCCCAGCGTCGTGGCTTTGTAACTGTATACCCTAGGGAACATCCCTTTTGTCCTTTGAAAAGTTCAGGATAACCTTTGGTCATCCTTTTCCTTTCGGAGAACTAAAGCAACTGGGCACAAAAAGTTTCTGCAGTTTCCTCTTCAGCTTCTGTACCATGGAGCATGCTTTCACTTATTTCTCACTGCAGCAACAGGATAAATCTAATCTAGTACTCAGTAGATTTCAGTAGCAGCAATATTATAAAACTTATATATATATATATATATATATATATATATCTCAGATAAATTAAACAAATACTTGTCATTATGGGGGCATATAACATCAGAAAAATCACTCTACATGATACAGAAAATGAACTTATCACAAATTATGCTACAAGCTAAGAATAAAACATGTAAACACAAATGCTTTAACAGAATTGGAGCATCTGCTACAAAGTCATCCTCAGCCAGGTAGCCTTCAGAAAAAAAGTTAAGAACCTGTCAACGCTAGAAACTATTGCCATCTCCAAGGGGATTAGTTTCTCCCAGAGTCAGATATGGGTGACTATAGCCCAGGAACACAGATGTGAGTTACCTCAAATTCCATGTTTCAACATGATAACATTTTTATAACCTTTTAGAGTAACAGAACAAAGCATATTCAAAATGCTTTTCAAATGCATTGGTGTAAACAACGTGTAGGCAAGTTACAGAAAAGAGGGGACCTCAACTGTAAGCCTCCGATACTCTTTTGACTATATTAATAGGTTTCTGCTGGGTAGAAACTAAGGATCCATTTGTACATTCCAAAGAATTTACTTACAACCAAAAAGATGTTAGGTCACATACAGAGGTGGGTAATAAACTGCTATTAACTTGGCTGAAGATGGCCCGTGATAATTTGTCTGTGAACTGGCAAAATTACAGGTTTGTAGTCACAGCTTCTTTCCATACTGTCCACTAAATGAAGCCAAGAGCAAAGACAATGGAAACTATAAAAGGGTTTGTTTAGGGACACTAGATGGCAGTCTAAAAATATCACATTTCATCTTCTGATTCGTCTTGCTGTTCAAGATTTTTCAGAAGTTGAGTTTCCGAGGTGCAGAGCTTGCTAAGTCTCCAGTTCACCAACCTGAGGGGGAAAACCATCTCTGGTTAGGTGAAATCTAAAGCTAAACCCTAAGGCAATGTAAATCTACAGTAAAACAAACTCCAGATTATTTGTATAACGGGGATATAACCCTTGAAAGAAAATAATTTCTATTTAGCCTTGAGTTGTTGAAAAGCTATGTGGATTAAAGCAAGATATAAGTAACCAGATAAAATATGGGCTTTTAAATTGATCACACCAGAATATAACTTTGATTATTTCTAAAACAAACTGGAGAATCTATAATTTGTGGCAAGCCCAGATGAATCTGATATCAGTGGAGTTTCTTCATTAAGACCAGAACAACATGTATATTACAAGAAGAGGGCTTTTTTTCTCCAAATAATGTACCTGGAGCCATCACCTTCCATATAGCTATTAGGCCAAGTTAACTAAATCCCATGTCAAGTTTGAGCTGGATTTCAGCTCTTCCGTGTAACTTAAAAAAAGTGCTTCTGTGATTAGGGAGCTGGCCATTCAACTACAGGTGACATTCATACACACAATAAATTAAGAAGTTCAGAGAGGTGGCAAGATCCTTTACAGTAGATGGCCCACCCTAGAATCCATGGGCACATGAACCAACAATTAGAGTCAGTGGGTGTTTTTTTCTAAACAAAAGTATGTGAAGTTGGGAGAGGATGTATCTGATGAGGTTTTGAAAGAATTAGGTGGGGAAAATGGGGGTAGCCATGATCAAAATGCATTATATACACATGTAAAATTCTCAAAGAATAAATCTGTTTTTTTAAAGTACACAGAAGTACCCTCCAATGTATGCCTGTTTTAGTACAAACTCAGATGGAGGCCTAGAGGAAGTGATGTTTAGAGTTACCAACTCCAGAAGGTCTAAAGCTTCTTAGTGATCAAAGCTGAGCAAGCTCTCTACTTCTGTAATGTGAGAAGTATTTATGTGAACCATGCAGTTTTTCCTATATATGATTGCCATAGGTCATTGTATACTGTGCCTACACAAGTAGAACAAAATTTCCATAAATTATGAGATGTATGCAAATGAACCTGGTAACTGAAATTACCAAAATCGTTCTCACTTTATGAGAAACTTCTCTAACCACCTCCATGTTGATTTTTAACTTTCTGCCTTCCATCTTCTGATGAAGTTTGGACCTGTCCCAAACAGATTACTACCAGAAGGACAGACGGAGAAATGAGGCTTTAGGAGATGAACATACTTTTCACTTAAACATCTAAGATGGAAGACCTCCTATTTCTTCTCCCTCTCCAAGACAAATACTTGGTGGGCTTTTTTCTGTCAGAGAGAACTATTCTGGGACATTTTCAAAACTCCTACCAGGGAGGCTCAGGTGAGTGTCCTGCAGGATGATGCCTGTGTCAAAGGCATATCACAAACACCTAGTCCAAGTCTGAATCATTTACTGTTTTGCTGGCAATTTCTGTGTTTCCAGAGATTTTTCTCCTCTACTACTTTGTCTTGTGGGACAGTAATAAAAGAAATTAATTCATAAAAATGATTTGAGTTTTAAGATTAACTCAGTGAGTCTGATAATCATATCTGATGAATGAAAGTGATTAACTTACCAGGTAACAAGAGCATAATTAATTCCAATGATGACATAGGTCAATGCATAATACAAACAAAAGATTACAGTGAGAAACAGAACGTTGCTATGATCAGACAGGTTCCATGCATGGTCTCTATTTTTGGGAAACAGGACAAAAGCAACCTGTGTTTCAAAGAAATGACACATAAAATAATCAGGCACATTATTGAAAACATTTATTCAGAGTACTGATAACTATATGATTGTCAACGTCAGAGATAGCACATATAAATCATCATATTTTTCTACCTATTTTAATAACATAGACATTATTTATCTAGTTGTCTTTCTAAACTATCTCAAAAGAGTGTTAACCCCTAAATGTGCCATCCCTATTAATTCCCACACTAGTTCCAGTTCCAAGGCTCAAGGAACATCTCAGAAGAGGAGGCATCTAAGAGCCAGAGGATATGGAGGGATGCTGTGAGATGCTGTCTTCTGAATATGACATGGCTGTCCCACTCATGAACTCACAAAAGATGGGGTTATTTGTCCAAAACTAGCCACAAAATCAAGTCCAGCAAAGTTCTGGTATATGGGAGAAGTGTTCTCCAGGCCCTAGCATTTACCAAGGGGTTACTGAGAGTTGATATCTATTGGAGAAGAATCATTCTCTTTAAATGGTGTGGCCACTGGCAGATTCCCCATGTTGCAGTGGATAATTCCATGCCTGTGCATGTATGGGGAGCACTAATTTAACTCAGTAAGTTTTCAAAAAAGAGATGGTGTGAAGTTGGAGAGAGAAGGGCTGGAGAGGGATTCAGAAAATCAGAGGGATGGAATGAGATAATGATATGAATATATGATGAATTGTATGATCATAATTAATTGTGTACATGAATGAAATTCTCATGAATGAAGAAAGGTTTTTTAAAATATGCAAATGACCCTTAAACAAATGGAAGAAGAGCAATATCATTATAGAAAGGTAAATCAAAATGGCAGTGGGATATAACTTGCTGCTCTCTAGAATGGCATTCGTAATAATAAATATAAAATACAAATGTTGGTAAGAATACAGAGGACCTGGAATCCTTAAACCTGTTATGAGGAAAATGAAACTGTTATGATAAAGAGGGCTGACAGTTTCTCTGAAAGTAAAATTTCAAATTACCATATGACCTAGCATTCTACTACTAGAAATGCTTTCAAGTATTCAAAAAACAATGTGTGCATTAAAGTTCATAGCAGCATTTGACCATCCAAAGATGAAAAAGAAACAAAATATTAATATATGTAATAATGTAGATAAAACTTGAAGATTTTATGTTGAGTAAAATGAGCAGAAACAATAGGCCATGCATTGTCCTATTCTCTTTTATATAAAATATTCATAATAGGTGGGGTAGGAAAACAAACTGGTAGTTGGCAGCGCCTAGGAGTAGAGACAAAGAAAAATAACTGCTAGTTGGGCATAGTTTTCTTTGCAGGGATGATAATGTTTAGTAGATCATTAGAGGTAGTAATGCATGACATTATGAATGGAATAAATGCTGCTGAATTTTAGCCTTTAAAGTTCTATGTTATATAAACTTCATCCCAATAAAATGATGGAAGGCTGATTGGTTGAATAATTTCAGGTCTCTAGAGTAAAATGAAACATAGAAATTTGGATAATATCATTGATAATTATACAAATGATATGCTAAGTTGGCCATGAATGTGTACGCACTGTATCACCTACAAGTTCCTTCCAATGACCTTTTCATAATTCATTATTACCTTTAATATGTTGTCTTTATTTTCCAAATAATGAAAATTTACAGAAAAAAATGCACTGAGTCTATATTGAGTAAAGCCCTACTTTCATTTCTTCCTTAAATTTCAAACACCTGAGTTAATCAGTAGAAACTAAAATTATTTGCTTTAATCAGTTGTCCCCACATATAGACTCCCTGTTGTTGGAATGAGAACTACAACTTTTATTATCCCATATGTATGGTCAAGGGATATATGCCATGTGCTAGTATCCTCATTTATGCATGAGCTTTCTTCAATAATCTTTAGTCTTAAATACATAACTTCAATGAGGAGATTTTATTATCCTTCGTAATATAAAGGGAAGTCTGTCAATAATTTTGACAATGATCAAAAAACTTCTGAATGATCTGAACAGTATTCCTAAGTGCCTGACTCTGTCTTCTACTGTATACTCTCCATCAGCATTGATTTTCTCCATGCTGGTCAATACAGATGGATGGTGGACTAAACACCCAAGATCAGTCTGAGCCATTTCAGCAGTGTGAACAGTCACAGCTAAGAAGGAAGTTGGTCCCATGAAGATGTGTTACTTGTTACCCCTAAAACACATATTCCCTAGTCTGTTGACCATGATACTGCCTCTTCCCCTCAGCTGACGAAGCTTTCTTATAACTCATGTGAAATGTAATTGCTTGAAGTAGCCTCATCGATCCAAATATCTGTTTTCTGGTGACTAGAAATCACTAGACTGCCCTATTTGAGCAACATACTGCTTCCATTCCAGATAGTCTTTACATCTCTAAGTGCATACCAAAGTACAATTTATCAGACATCATAAAATATGCAATCATTACATATTGCATTGGAATTCTGATTTCAACATAATATCGAGGTTAGAGAGTTGACATCATCAAACGGGAAGAGACTGGGGGTTGAGACCAAACAAATCCAAATTTAAGTCCTCGATTAGGTTTTTTGTTTGTTGGTCAGTAGCCTGTGTAACACAATGTAAACCCTGGAGCAGTGGTTCTCAACCTGTAGGTCATAACTCCTATGGGGTCAAGCACCCATTTCACAGGGGTCACCTAAAACCATCCTGTGTATCAGATATTTACATTATGATTCATAACAGTAGCAAAATCACAGTTATAAAGTAGCAATGAAAATAATTCTGTGGTTGGGGGTCACCACAACATGAGGAACTGTATTAAAAGGTAGCAGCATTGGGAAGGTTGAGAACCCCTGCTTAGAGCCAGCAAGAAATCTGAAGTAGAGATTTGACTTTCCCCTTAGTCTAATGGCCAAAGTTTCAGTCTGGTACAGATTTTATTCAAAACAGAAAGATGTATTCATCTTTGCTTTCATCTTTAGTATTTAACAGTTTTCCAGGCCCCACATCTCTCAATGAAATTGGCAAAGGAATAGGGTGAAGATGTGAGTGTGCATATATGTCAAACATATTCACCTCTTGGTCTGTACCCATCCAGGATTCCTGCTTGAATTCCCTTAATATCCTGTATGTGGTGGCATTGTCTCCACTTATGTGGATGCCTGCCTGTAAAGCTAAATTTCTATAAAAAATAATTAGCAGGAATTGACTAGTTCCATGATTGTATGAGTCTTGCAAAATAATTTAAATCTTCTTGAATCTTTCTATTGATAAGTTGGAGATGGTAATACTTAACTGTTACATTATCATAAACAGAATGAAATACAATGTCCATAAAAATCCAATGAAAGATAGACATGGCATACACCTATAACCACAACACTAGGGATGCTGAAGCCTTGAATTCTAGGATTCTGAGTTCAAGGTTAACCTAGGATACCTAGTGAGACGCTCTCTTAAAAGAATATTTTTTCAAAACAGTGGTAAATACACACTTGTTTCTCAATAAATAACAGGTTCCTCCCTTGTCTACTTGACATATATTTCTGGAGCTTACTACTAAGTAAGCTATAAACTATCTTATTATCAAAAACTGACGATAACTAATATCACCTACTCAGAGTTTCTACAGAATGGATAACCAGATGTCTGATAACTGGCACACTCTACTTCCTGCTCAGCTGCTCTACCAGTGTTCCTACTAGGAACCTCAGGTCACCTAAAGACATTACCTCTTAAAGACCAACAGTTTCACTATAGGAAACTGTCTGAACTCCACAAGAAACTACGCCATCAAATAAGGAGAGAAACCACAGGTCAAAACAAAATAGAGCCAGCCGGAGACTTTAACTCACCTGACAGAACCACATCCCATGTAGCATGACGAGGCTCGACCGCAGGAGTGCCAGAACTACATTGCTCTTTGTAAAGAATTCTATAAAGGCAACCAAACCTGCCAAAAATATAGCGAAGCTCAACAGTTGGTGCCCAAAGGTGTCCACCAAGGTCCGGCCATGTGTGTGATTGTGGAAAATAAAAGCTAATGGGGTAGAAAAAAATTTTTTAATAGAAACCAAAGACAACCAAGTCATCAGTTATGTCTCCCACCTCCTTTCCTCTCTAGCCAACCTATACAACTGATAGTAAGGTGAGGTCCCCGCAGAGTCTCAAGGCAAGACAGCTTGCACTTTCTTACTGTTGTCCCCACCTATTTAAAGTGGAATCTTTTCTCCTCTACCATGAAGTTGTCAGCTAACTGCATTTAAAGGCATTAATATGCAGGCTGAGGAATAATAAACATGACAGGACAGGGAGCTACAATTCACATGAATATGCAGATGAACAAACTGGAGCCAAGACCTTGCCTTGAGGATTTCCATGCCCTGAGAAAAGTAGACACACCCAGAATTCACACCTTGAGAGGTAGGGGAATGTTATCTTCAAGTGGGATCTAACTACAGTGTTTCATTACATAGACATATTCCAATTTCACCTTGATAGTTTTCATTAAGATAAAAGAAAAGAATGATGATTAAAGACATGAGAACCAGGCTATTAGTTATGGTGATTCTTTTTTGTCTTTTTTTGGCCCTTGCCCTCGAAACACAACAGGTAAGAGCTACTTTCTTTCTTCACATGGAAGGAAAGGAACAGTTGCCTCCCAACCACTGGAAGTTTCAGAGCTATATAATTAATCTACTTTTTCATGTGCATAATAAATGAAGAAAACCATTAAAGACCTTTAAAGACATTTTCCTCACCCACCTCAGTAATCTTACGGAAAACAAATGAAAAAAAAACCACATATGATTTATTTTTAATTAACTTCTCAAACTTAGGACTTCTACTACTAATGTGGTGGAAATATACAGACTCAACTTCATACACACTGGCACAAGTTTTACTGCGTCAGTAATTTAAAAGCTAGTTGGCAGCTGGCAGAATCTATTTTGCTGCTAACATCTAGCTATCCCAGTTGAGGATTCATGCTTCCATTACTCTTTAGGTTTAATTTTCATCGTTAAAAGTGTAAAGAAGATAGTTGCTAAGAAAACAAAGAAAGAAGATGATTCTTCAGGGCAGATGTAAAACCTGAATAAACAACAAATGGTTGTGCTACTCAATGAGTCTGTAGAGATGCAAGATCCTTTTTGATGTGGGAATCCCCTCTATATGCTGTAAATACCATTCATTAATAAAGAAACTATTTTAATCCTGTGATAGGGTAGAGTAAAGCTAGGTGGGAAAAACTAAACTGAATGCTGGAAGAAAGGAGGCAGAGTCAGAGAGAAGCCCCAATGGAGTCGGACAGAATTCTACCCAGCCTTGTAGAACTTTGCCACAGCCTTGTGGCAAATACTAGAAGTGGGTTAAATTAAGATGTAAGAGTTAGCCAATAAGTAATTAGAGCTAATGGGCCAAGCAGTGATTTAATTAATACAGTTTCTGTGTGGTTATTTCAGATCTGAGTAGCCTGGCTGCTAGGAAACAAACAAACAGCCTCTCATACAGCAATCCTTGGCATCCTATAGAGCATAGTCAAGTATCTTAGTATGGCCCTGATACTTTGCCCTGCCAATCAGGACTGTACAAAGAAAGCAAAGATATTTTATTACATAGGGCTATCCAGATGTTTACTTGATATGGGATTTCCCTCTGCATGCATTGAATATGTTTTATTGCTATTAGTTAATAAAGAAGCTTAACGGAGTAAAACTAAACTGAATGCTGGGAAAAAGAAGGCAGAGTCAGGAGAAGTCACATAGCCACCTGCAGGGGACAGAAGCCTCCTCTGGAGCCTACCATAACCCCCTGTGGGTATGCTACAATCACAGGTTAATAGAAATGGATTAATTTAAGATATAAGAGTTAGCCAGAAATACGCTTAAGCTATTGGCCAAACAGTATTGCAATTAATACAGATGTCTATATGGTTATTTTGGGTCTGAGCAGCCAGGATCAAATTAATGAGCAGCCTCTGTCAACATTTACTACTAGAGACAAGTACAGAAAAGAGAATGGGGAGGAGAGAGAGACAGAGAGATATGAAAACACTACTCCCCCATACTTACCATCGACAAAGCAGGCATTTGCTAACATTAACTTGACCAAAGAGACTGGAAGTGAACGTATGGTGAAACATAAGATCTTGGTCCCACCTAGCATTGCAAAGAAGACATACATGACAAAATGATGCCAGTGCAGGATTAGGACCAACTGGGATTCTTTTTCTGAGAGCTGATTTCGCTTTCCAAGCACAAGGTATAGACCAGTTATTCCTGTTGAAAATCATACCACAGTTTCAGCAACACTCTACTTGATTTTACCTAGCACACACATGCAAGAAGATATGAGCATTGCTTATTTCAATCAACTATGTCCTCTTAAAACATTGCTTTCTCTTTAAAGAAAGAAAGAGAGAGAGAGAGAGAGAGAGAGAGAGAGAGAGAGAGAGTAGTGGGGTGTAGTGGCACATGCCTTTAATCCCCACACTAGAGAGGAATATAAAACGGAGGAGACAGGTCTCAGCTCAGCCTCATTCTAAGGATTTGTGGAGGCAGTATTACCATTTCAGTCTGAGGTAGGAGTCAGTGGCTGGTTGCTTTGCTTTTCTGATCTTCACGTTGAACCCCAGTCTCTGTCTCTAGGTTTTAATTATTCGTGCTACACTGGGCAGTTCACTCACAGCTCTGTGGTGACACTGTAGACTTCACTAGAGCTTCAAGTGCTGGTTGAGAAAACCGATTTTAGTCACAGCCAATGCTGATGATTTTGGTTCAAGTGTCTATTCCAAACTAAAGACCAAGGTTTATGAGACAGTGTTATAGAGGCTACCTGTTCATTTCCTAACTACCTGACCTTTGGATTGTCACTAGGTAAATGACTGGCCTTGGTTCCTGAGTTCAAAACAAAAATTCTTAAGATCCAGCTTCCTCCAGGAAAGGATAAGCAAGAAGCCCCAATGAATGTAGAATGTGGTATCGTCACTTATACAAGTACTTAAATTTTCAGAGACGTTGGCTCACTTGCTAACATATATAAGTTTGTGGATAAGCTCTCTTTGAAAATAATTAGTGTGAGTCATATCAAAACCCTCTTTCCATGAAGAAAGCACAAAGAAACAGAAAGTTTTATCTTTTATAATAGGCTACAATGAAACTAAAAGCAACCATTTTTATAAGATTTTCTAAAGCAATGGAAAGGTTTCATAAGTTGTCTGGACTAACTGTGCTCTTTAATTCAGGACATTAGAGGAAAAGGAAGAGCTCATGAAGCAGGCTTTCCTCCGCCATGGTCCCTCTCCATAACCTCCCAGCAATGTTCATTGAAACTTTCCAACCATCACTTGATTATTTTTGCATCATTTGAAAATGATTTCTAATAGCGTTTATTCTTGCAGAGATCAGAAAAAATTGATATGAAATTATTGCAGAGGATCCAACCAATTCCACAAAAGAAATTCACCATGATTGCTTAGGTAAATTAAATATTACAATTAACTTATTAAGAAATGAGCCTTTGTATAAGCCTGAAATACCACATTGCTAACAAATTATATCATAGAGAAATTGTAAAGAACATTTAATAAGTATTTTTGAATAAGCTATTCTGCTCTGGAATTTCTTGATTTTGTAAAAGAAAAAAGGAAGGAAGGAAGGAAGGAAGGAAGGAAGGAAGGAAGGAAGGAAGGAAAGAAGAAAGGAAGAAAGGGAAGAAAGAAGGAAGGAAGGAAGGAAGGAAGGAAGGAAGGAAGGAAGGAAATTTTCTATGCATATAAAAACACCAAACTGAAAAAATACAACACAGTAAGTCAATTCACCTACTAATACCACGCCAGTAATCACAATTCCTTCCACAATTTCTGCTCGAAGGAAGAATTTCTTGGTAATAAGGGAGAAAGACCTCTTTTGCTGTCGACAAACATGCTTCAGAATGTGCTTAATACTCCACCAAAGACCTATGACAAAGAAAAGTGTTCCAGGAAGGACATGACCTGGAAAATCCCCCATGACCTACAAAGAAAAGAATATAAAGACAATAGAACATCATCAAATCATTTCTCACCGTCAAACAGCAGACTAGCTTCTGATAGTTATTAGCACATAATAGATCATATTACAATATCAACTATGCCAGTAACATTAAAATTCACTTTGACACTTGATTGATAGTGCACATCATAGGAGATGTTTTAAATGCCATCTCTCGTCCAGCTTTCACAGCATACCCATGAATAAGGAATTGATATTCCATTTCCAGTTGAGGTATGAGTTTATAGGAGCTAAATGACTTCCCCAGATCTCACAACTACTGAGCAAACTTTTGTTTGTTTTTAACAGAAAGCTCAAGATGGTTTCTTAGAAAGACAGTATGCCCTTCATCAACCACATGTTCTTTCGGTATAAATGATATGAAACCTTGACCTGATTGTATAGAATTTGGAATGATATGAAGTTGCCTATGAATTTATTTCCACATATGCGGTTTCAAAGGATCAAGGATCAAGTGTGAGAGAGACTGTTAACACTCATCCAATATTTGTGTGTTCTTCCACATGCCTTCTCAGCCTCTTGTGTGGATGGGTGGGAACTGTGGTTTTAGTTCTCGCTAGCTGACTGAACAAGGAATTGACACATGCCACATCTAGGTTGAGTCACTGATGTCTTATAGGATTCCTCAGTTCTTCTTCTTCAGCACTCTCTCCTACAGTTCTCTCTTCTGTATTGGCATACCCTCTCTCCTACAGTTCTTTCTTCTGTATTGGCATACCCTCTCTCTTTCTCCTACAGCTCTCTCTCCTGTATTGGCATACCCTCTCTCTCTCCTACAGTTTTCTCTTCTATATTGGCATACCCTGACTGCATCATAGAAGACTGTCACTGGTCAGTGCTATAGAAAAGATGGTCTTACCCAGTGTGATTTTATTTTTATTTGTGTGCCACCCTTTGTTCAAATATATTGTGCCATCCACAGAATCTAGAATTACAATCTAGAATCATTCTATGGGTCTAATGCTAGATAAGAGCTAAACACAATTATGAAAGGGGATTTCAGGATATTCTCTGATTGGAAAACTAGGATCCCCCAGTTCAGGACAGTGCCCTCTGGGTTACTCCTCTATGATCTGAAGGGAAGCTCTGGGAGAAACTGGAAGCTGACCCAAACAGTGTCAGTATCATATCTCCTATCTCCAATGAAGACCCCAGCTGCTTTCAGTCCACCCTTATATCATCCAAATCGTTAAGAGCCAGACTCACTATGCCTCATAGCAGTGAGCATAGGTTCTTATTCTAACTCTATGGAGTGGTTTGGGCCCTGCCTTTTAACTTCTCTGAGCACTAGTTCTTAATAAATAAAAAGAGAAGGAGAAACTACCCCTTGTTAATATAAGTGCAAATTGGCATCATTTCTTCTCCAATTAATTTGACAAGGAGTAGAATAGTTCAGAGTCCACACAGCCCACAATAGAGAAATTATGGTTTTAGTACATGCCCTAGAAAATATACAAGTCCTCTTCTCTTGTGTATATGTGAAAAATGTCATTGCTACATCAAGTGTGTAAAATAAAAGCACAACTAACCTTAATTTAATTTACCAATAGATAAATTAATAAATAATATTCTATAGCATAATGTGATTATAATTAAAGTATTTTTTAGATAAATGAATGCCCCTTCCAAGCTTGACAGTTGTGAATAAAACTGCTATTAAAGTTCATGTACAGGTTTTAATATGACTAAAATTTCTTAGTTTATTTGAGTATATAAGCACATCTAACAATTTATAGTGATTCTTAATTGATTCTTAATTTTAAGTGTTTTATATTTTTAGTATAATTTTTAATTTAATATTTGAGATTTTCCTATATGTATATAATGCATTTTGATTATATTCACTCCCAACCCCCTCTCCAATTCCTCCCAGACAATTCTACATGCCCATAACAACTGCATGTTCCTTTTTTAATAGTTCGTTGAGCCCAGTTAATGAAGCCCATAAATGCATGCGCCATCTACTACAGCAGGGCCAACCCACCAAGGCAGACCAACTAAAGAAAACTAGTTCTTTCACCTAGCAACATTAACTTTTAATAGCTTTATAGGTAGGGGTGGGGCTTATCTACCCTCATATAGAGATTTTTTTTAATCATTAAGGTGGATGGAAAATTAAAGTTTCAAAACACTGCTATACTTTGGTGTGATTTACCTGAAATATAATATGCTTCCTTGATAATCGTTTTCCTACCAAAAGCAATCTACATATTCAATGCAATCACCATAAAAATTCTAATACAGGTTCTTCGGGGCTTAAATTCCTCCATCTCAGCCGGGGCAGGCACCGCGGGCCGGGGCAGGCGGTGAGAGCAAAGGGGCGGGAGTCCCTTTGTTCTGATAGCTGGCCTGCAGCAGCTAAGACCACAGGCAGGGACTCTTCTGACCAGCGAGGGGCTCTGATCCTGTGCAGGGGTAAGTGTGTGGACCGGTGAGGGGACACACAATATTCCCGCCATCCTTATCTCCCTGGCTACTCCAAAGGGGCAGCTTCCCCCAGCTAATCCCTCTCTCCTGCTACGCCATCCCAGCTTTTGGCCTCGAACCCCTCCCCTCCCCTCTCCCTTTTTCAGGGCTTAAATTCCTCTATCTCAGCCAGGGTGGGCACCACGGGGCTGGATAGGTGGTGAGTGCAAAGGGAAGGAAGTCCCTTTGTTCTAATAGCCTGCCTGCAGCTAGCTAAGACTGCAGGCAAAGTGATTCCTGGATAGCAAGGGTCACTAATCCAGTAGAAGAAGACCCAGCGGAGGGAAGAGCCATTGGAGAGCATCTGAAGGAAGAGATGGGCCGGCGCCAAGGCAAGAATTCCTCCAACAATCTGAAAAACAACATGAAATCACCAGATCCCAGCGATCTTACGACAGAAGGACTCAAACGCCCTATTCCGGAAGAAGTGGAAAACAGTGTCATTATGAAAGCAATAGAGTCTCTAAAACAGGGTATGAATAACTCACTTAAAGAAATAGAAGAGAAATATAACAAAAAAATAATAGAAATGAGTAAAGAAATAGAAGACAAATATAACAAAAAGTTTGAAGAAATGAGTAAATTCGTAAATGATACCCTGGGAAACCAAGAAAAAGCAATCAAACAGGTAATGGAATCAGTGCAAGAATTGAAAACTGAAATGGAGGCAGTGAAGAAAACACAATCCGAGGGCCGGCTGGATATGGAAAATCTAGGTAAACGAACGGAGACTACAGAATCAAGCTTAACCAATAGAATACAAGAGATAGAAGAACGAATCTCAGATTATGAAGACACCATAGAGAAAATAAACGCCCTGACCAAAGAAAACAGCAAATCCAACAAATTCTCATCACAAAACATTCAGGAAATATGGGACATAATAAAAAAACCAAATCTAAGAATAATAGGAGTAGAAGAAGGAGAAGAATTGCAGATCAAATGTCCAGAAGATATATTCAACAAAATTATAGAAGAAAACTTTCCCAACCTAAAGAGGGATATTCCTATGAAGGTGCAAGAAGCATACAGAACACCGAATAGACTGGATCAGAAAAAAAGTCCCCTCACCATATAATAAAACACAAAGCAGTCAGATTAAAGAAAGGATATTAAGAGCTGCAAAGGAAAAAGGTCAAGTAACCTATAAAGGTAAACCTATCAGACTTACACCAGACTTCTCTATAGAAACCATGAAAGCCAGAAGGTCCTGGATAGAGGTACTGCAGAAATTAAGGGACCATGGATGCAAGCCCAGACTACTTTACCCAGCCAAGCTTTCGTTCACTATCAACGGAGAAAACAAAATATTCCAGGATAAAAACAAATTTAAACAATATGTAACTACTAATCCAGCCTTACAGAGAATACTAGAAGGAAAATTACATCCCAAGGAGTCCAACACTGCCAACACTAACTACAATAATTCAGACATCTAGCGACCCTTCAGTAGCACAATTCAAAGAAGGAAAACACATACACTCTATTACCACCAAAAAAATGACTGGAGTCAACAACCAATGGTCATTAATATCTCTTAATATCAATGGACTCAATTCACCTATAAAGAGGCACAGACTTAGAGATTGGATAGGAAAACAGGATCCAACATTCTGCTGTTTACAAGAAACACACCTCAACCACAAAGACAGACACCTACTCAGAGTAAAGGGTTGGGAAAAGGTCTTCCAAGCAAATGGACCTAAGAAACAAGCGGGTGTGGCCATTCTAATATCTAACAAAATCGACTTCAAACTAAAATCAATCAGAAGAGATGGAGATGGACATTTCATACTCATAACAGGAACAACTCATCAGGAAGAAGTCTCAATCCTGAATATCTATGCCCCTAATGTAAAGGCACCCACATATGTAAAAGAAACTCTTCTAGAACTCAAGGCAGTCATCAAACCACACACACTAATAGTAGGAGACTTCAACACTCCTCTCTCACCAATGGACAGGTCAATCAGACAGAAACCAAACAGAGAATTAAGAGATTTATTGGAGGTATTGAATCAAATGGACTTATCAGACATCTATAGAACACTCCACCCAAATAGGAAAGAATATACCTTCTTCTCTGCAGTTCATGGAACCTTCTCGAAGATTGACCACATACTCGGCAACAAAGCAAACTCCCACAGATACAAAAAAATATTAGTAACCACCTGTGTCTTGTCAGATCACCATGGATTAAAATTAGAATTCAACAACAATGCTACCCCCAGGAAGTCAACAAACTCATGGAAGTTGAACAGTCAACTACTAAATCACCCCTGGGTCAAGGACGAAATTAAGAAAGAAATTAAAGTCTTCCTTGAATTTAATGAAAACAAAGACACAACATACTCAAACCTATGGGACACTATGAAAGCAGTGCTAAGAGGAAAGTTCATAGCAATAGGTGCCCAAATAAAGAAAACGGAGAAAGCACACATTGGAGACCTAACAGCACACTTGAAAGCTCTAGAAAAAAAAGAAGCTGATTCACC